CATTATTATCTGATAAGAGCCTGTTTTTTAAAGTACAGGATTAACAGTACATTTAATCAATCCTGGTAACACAGGCAGTAGACAGCAAAATTGATTATTGTTCAGATAATAAAATGCTGCATTTTTAAATTATTGGTATTGTCATTACAGTCACAACAAGTATTTTCACCCTCCCTTCTCGTTCTGTTGTAATTCTACGAAAATGTGCTGGCTCTGCAGAAAGACAAGGGTCCATGTCAGGAAAGGTTTTTACAAGGCTAAGAACCAACTCACTGCCTTTTTTTTTTTTTATCTCAGTCACTGGATTGAAAAATTTCAGGTTTATCTGCCAAGAACGACTATTTTAATATCTGCAGAATTAGACAGCCAGTGTCTAAGAATTCTTACAGAACGAGATGACTAGCTCTTGGAAGACTGATGCTGGTTTTCAGAAAATGCTGCGGCTAAAGAAGGCTGCAAAGAAAATAAAACACTAACATAATTTAAAACAAAAAAAACCCCAGGGTGACACCGATAGGTTAGTTTGATATCGGTCTTGCACAAAATCATGGTATATAATCAACAGAAAAATAAAGGATGGTGGTAAGAAGCGATGCTAAACATAGGCTTACAGAAAATAGGTCTCGCTAAATAAATTTGGTATGGCTTTCTGACAAGAATATAGGTTGGACTGGATAAAAATACCTTGTAGTTTCTGACCTACTATACTTAGATCTCTGTAAGATTTAGTGCCACACAACAGTCTGATTTAGAAGTTATTCAACATGAAGAAAACCTGGAATCTAAAACCACCTCATAAATTATTAGGGAGGCTTAGGAAAAATATTTCAAATCCACCTTGTCAATAGTTAAAGCTGTTTTCTTAGCTCTTAAAAATCATAGCTCATTATAGCCTGGAATACTATAAAAAGCTTCTTCCCCTTTAACTTTTTCTGCAGTTGGGAAAAAAGAATATATACACATAGTTAAAGAAAAAGGGAGGAGGTATAAAGTCACTTTAAACTTTGACTCTCATAGATTGTTTTTCAG